AGGAGATTCACGTGGGACCCTGAGCTTGGTTTTAGAAATGTAAAATACATTTTTAGGCTCCTGGGCGCTTGCGAGGACTGACGGTGAAGCAGTCGACTATGATTCTTTCAGGTTAGTAAATGTGTTGATGTCACTATCTAGAGAAACAGAAATCCTATGTGTTCATTCTTCAAAAATTATTTGAGAATGCACTTGGTGCTAGGTATAATAGTGAACAAGAAAGACAAAGTTGCTTTTTTTTTTTAAGACAAAGTTTTTGCCCTCATGAAATTTGTATTCTGTGGTGACAGAGACTCGCCAAAATGGATAGAAAATAATATACAAGTGCTCTGAAGTAAAATAGAGGATGGTAAGGAGAAAGAAACTAATTGGTGCTATTTTAGATAAACAAGGAAGTCAGAGAAGAACTCTCTGTGCAAGCAGCAGTTGACGGGGTATGGTGGTCATTAAAAATATTTATAAATATTCTGGTTCTCCTCCTCTTCTACTAGGTAGGACAACTTTCCTGCTCCCTTCAAAGCAAGCTGTGGCCATATGACCTAACTGGCCCAATGTGAGTCCAAGTGACCTCTGTCATTTCTCGGTAGAAGCCTTAAGCACTAGTGCATGACTTGCTGTGTTCTTTTTCTGTCTGGTCTAGTGACGAGCAATGTTTTGGCTTCTCTGGGTCCTAGAAAGAGGGTAACAAGAAGCAGAGCCTCTAATGACCCTCAATGAGCATGTGGCACAAGCGAACAATAAAACCGTCACTTTAAGTTCCTGAAATTTGGGGGCTATTTGTTACCTCAGTGTAACCTAACCCATCCTGCCTGAACAAGGGACAGAACTCCTGATATAAATGTGCTCTGGAAAGCTGCAGAGAACAGTACAGGTGAACTCTGAGAGTACAGTATTCTGGTGAGTCAGTGCAGTGAGAAACAGGCTGATCCACGTCAGGAAACACTGACGGCTGCATCTCCTCATGGCTCAATATAATAACTGATGTTCGTGACGAGGATTCTGCAGCATCACGCACACGAAAAATAAATTATATTTGGCATGCTCTGGTTAAGACAGGCAATGATGTCATGTATTCCAGAAAAAAAAATCTCACAAACGGTGGGCAACAGCTTCAGTGATCTGAAATACTCCTATGTGCTGAATCATTGAGGGCTAATATATGTGATTAATATTAATAATTGCATATATATTATAGTATTCACTCTTTGTTAAGCTTTTTTAGGTGCCAGGTATTATGTCAAGTGCTTAGTGTTCTTTATGTCATTTAATCCTCACTACAACCCTGTGATCAATCCAATGACTCGTTAGGAGATCATGGAGTTAGCAAGTGGCAGAGTTAGAATTTGAAATGCCGTCTTAACTACCATTGCCGAATACTTCATGTAATCATCCAGCCTTCAGTTTGTTTGCACGAATTGTTTCTCAAAGCAAACGGCACATAATTTATTTGGAATTAAAACATGAAGTTCACTCACTTTAAAAAAAAAATGGCATTGCCTTTGAAAGGATTTATTTACTATCTTGCTTGCCAATAACAGATTTTTCAAACTTAGCTTTGATGAGTGAAAAGTGAGTTGAGTCAGTCTTTCATGAGCATTGACTGCTCGGTCAGCAACACCAAGGGGACAATAGAGTGCGTGGTGTTTTCAAGGCTTGGTCCACAAGCACAGGTAGATCAATATTTTTCTGTTTCCGTGATGGATACTCTCAATTTTCTGTGCAAGGCAGAAAATGTAGGGACAGAGTGTGTGACAGTTGGAGACACAACCATCAGAGGAGAAGGGTTTTTATGTGAGAGTGGAGGAATGGTGATGGATTAGCAGTGGCCTGAAAGAGCTGGGAGAGTGAACTTTCTACTTTCCCCACCCTATGGGACCAGAACTAACTCTGAGCAGCTTCCAGGAGCCACAGAAGGAAGAAGAAGTATCCAAAGAAGCCCGAAGTGGCTTTATTGACCTGTGTTGCCAACTCCTAGAGTCCTGCTAAAATGCTCCCAAAGATGATCTTAGCCTATTGCTTGAGAAGAGTTTCTCAGAGAATAAGTAGTGTTCTCTGAAAACAGCCTTGCGTTTCCTGTTTCGATCACCACAGACATTGGGTTTACCACGGCAGATCACTGCACTGCTCCACGCAAGGCCCCGTTCTCACCGCTGCAATTTCTTTCCTGCCCTCCCTCCCTCCCTCCCTTTCTTTCTTGCCACAACTTGTTATTATTTA